ACCAAAGGGAAGTAACAAGATATGTCTGCTGCACAAACATCTCATCACCTGGTAATCCCAAAGATCATTCAGTCATTGCTCGTGACTGTGGTCTCCCACTTGTTATGGACAAGAAGTCTGGGAAAGTCATGACAGTAGGAATCAGTGCTATGAAAAATAACAGTTCAATGACTTAAGAATTCCTAGCCCTAGCCTGTCTGGCTCAGTGGTTAGAGCGTTGGCCCGTGGACTGAAGGGTCCTGGGTTCTATTCCAGCTAAGGGCACGTACCTCGGTTGCAGGCTCAATACCCAGGCCCCAGTCGGGGCACATGTGGGAGGCAACCTGTTGATGTATCACTCTCACACATCGATGTCTCTCTCGCTCTCCCCCCCCAGCCCAGCCCCTTCCACTCTCTCTATAAAGCAATGGGGGGTGGGGGGAGAATTTTCTCAAGACCTGGCCTCGTATAAAACACACAAAGATAAGAATGTGATGATGTCTGCTAGAATTGATCCTGTTCCTCCAAACACTGATTCCTGAGATGTTGCAGAAGAAATCTGGGGTAATCAAGAGCACAAAAATATGGATAATTAGATGCTAAAACTTAAGTTCTGGAAGTTAAGGAAGAGGAAGAGAATGCCGAGAATGATAAAGACGGCTGGGGAAGCACCAGTCTCAGCGAGGAGGAGGATAGCGATGGTAAACGGGTTTATGTGCACCACTCTTCCGATGAACAAGTAATCTCCAAGAAACTGAACAGCTTCATGGAAGAGCGAAAATGTCCAGTCAAAAAATAATCAGTATTACTTCAGAGAAAAGCAGCTGGTACTGCAAGATAAACTTTTGAAAAAGAGAAAAAGAGTGAAGTAACTCCCAAGTTTTCCACTTTCCAAGGAGAATGCTAAGTTGGTGTCATTAATTTGCAAATTAGCGAATCAAGAATGTTTATTTGCATCAAAAAGTCCAGAAGCACTATTATTTTGAAAACCACCCAAAAATCACACTGCTAAACAATGACGGGTTTGATTCCATTTTTTTTAATCCTCACCCAAGGATGTATTTGCCATTGCGTTTCAGAGGGAGTGGAAAGGAGAGAGAAAAAGAGAGAAACAGCAATGTGAGAGACATATCAACTGGTTTGCTCCCACATGCACCCCCACCGGGGCCCAGGACTGAGCCTGCAACCGAGGTACATGCCCTCAGTCCCCAGGCCAATACTCTAACCACTGAGCCAAACCAGCTAGGACTTGATCCCATTTTTTAAAAAAACAACTTTGCAACACAAAAAATAAAGCTAAGATAAACTGGACTTTAGTAGCAATGCAACAATACTGGTTCATGAGTTATAACAAATATGTGACATTATGCAAGATACTATTAACAAGGAAAAATGGGGAATAGATGATATGGGAATTTTCTGTACTATCTGCAAATTTCTGTAAATCTAAAACTGCTCTAAAAAAATAAAGTACTGCCCTGGCCAGGTAGCTCAGTTGGTTAGAGTGTCATCCCAATATGCCAAGGTTGCAGGTTTGATTCCCGGTAATGACATATACAAGAATCAACCAATGAATACATAAGTAAGTGGAACAACAAATCAATCTCTCTCTCCCTCCCCCCTAAAATCAATCAATAAATAAAAATTTTTAAATAACTTAAAAAAAATAAAGTATTAATTTTTTAAAACCTACATATATGGACAGATATGCAAATAAACATTTGCAAATGCAAAGAGCTGTAGATCAAATTGTTAACAGTGGTTTTCTACAAAGTGAAATGGAAAGAGGAACATGAGGAATTTTTACATAATATACCTAGGGACTGTCTAAACTTTCTACACTGAACAGTACTCTAAGGAGAGGCTCTGTAGCACACTGAGAGTCTTAGTCCTGAAACCATACTGCATGGATTCAAATTCCAGCTCCACCATTAACTAGCTGATAAATTTGGGCACTTAATTTCTCTGTGCCTCAGTTTCCCAATGTGTAAATAGGGACAATAGTATGTGTCCCCAAAGAACTGCTACAGGTATTAAATGACTTACTACATGTAAACTGTTGGAAAACTAGTACATAGTTAAGTGCTCAAAAAATGGTGTTCATGACCATCATCAAGTATATATTATTCATCATCAAGCATCTATTATTCCTAAATTTTTTAAACCTTTGATTAATAAGACAAATGAGGAAAACTTGGTTCATCAAGTGTAGAATCTTTGATGCACAAAAATACAACTGTATTCAACTGCCAAATAAAAATAACCTGAGATTTCTTTTAAGCAAATCACAAACCAACACTTAACAATATGAACCAATTTATACAAAAATAATAACAGCCTGGACAGCATGGCTCAGTGGTTGAGCATCAACTTATGATCCAGGAGAGACTTATGAACCAGGAGACACTTATGATCCAGGAGATTGAGTTTGATTTCTGGTCAGGGCATATGCCCAGGTTGTGTTTCAGGCTCAATCCCCAGCAGGAGGCAGCCAGTCAATGACCCTCTCTCATCATTGATGTTTCTCTCTCTCTCCCTTCCTCTCTCTGAAATCAATTTTAAAAACATATTAAAATAAAAACCAATAATAAATACTAACAAATTCTATAGGGATAATCACAAAAACAAACCCCTCTGAGTTGTATGATTCTGGATAACTTTTACTTTCTCTTATACTTTCCTGACTCATTTTAATTTTCTACATAGAATATGCTTCTTTTTTTTTTTTTTTTTTTTTATCCTCACCCGAGGATATTTTTTCCATTGCTTTTCAGAGTGAGTGGACGGGAGAGACAAAGGCAGAAACATCCATGTGACAGACACATCGTTTGGTTGCCTCCCACATGAGCCCCAACTGGGGCCGGGATGAAACCTGCAACCAAGGTACGTGTCCTTGGTAGGAATCAAACCCAGGACTCTTCTGCCGAGGGCCAACGTTCCAACCACTGAGCCAAACCAGCTGGGGCTAAGCATCATTTTTAATGAAGTAAAGCAGAAGCCCTGGACAGTATGGCTCAGTTGCTTGGAGTGTCATCCCGTACACCAAAAGGTGGTGGGTTCAATTCCTGGTAGGGCAAATACCTAGGTTGCAGTTCGATCCCCATGCCAGGTGAGCACAGGAGGCAACCAATCAATTTTACTCTCACATCAATGCTTCTCTCCCTTCTTCTCTCTAAAATCAATAAAACATATGTATAAAATAAAAATAAAATAAAGCAGGAGTCGGCTAACTTTTAATAAATATCTTAGGCTCTGCAAGCCATATGGGTCTCTGTCCCGATTACTCAACTCTACCACTGCGCCACAAAGCAACCACAGACAATATCTAAACCAATGCATGACTATGTCCCAATAAAAAATTTACAAAAACAGGCAGCTGGCAGGACTTTGCCCACAAGCCGTAAAGTTTGCTGGCCCCTGAAATGAAGAATAAAACAATTTTCATTTTGGAAAACAAAATGTGATTTATACCAAAAAAAGTGCATCAACTATATTGATACTATTGATAGGGGGGGGAAATCCATTCACTTAATTTATACAAGTCTAGGGACAGAAAAACACTCTGGAAATCCTCCTCTTATCCCTAGAACCCAAGTAATAAGAGAAAATTTGCCTAAAATCTAACTAGGAACATACACTGGTGGGTGGGCAGTTAAAAACAGAAGCTAAAAGAAATATGCCTTTCAAATTTAAATCAACTGAAATTTTTCAAAGTTCATAATAATTCACCACCAAACAGCTGCTACCAAGTTGGAAGTCCTCAGTACTGATGAAATTATTTGAGTTATGTATCATCAGTCACCACTCTGACAAATTTCTGAGAAAAAATGAAAACATCAATGAACAACAGCATCAAAAATGAAATTTGTATGAAATGAAAAATTAGGAAAGAAAAAAGTCTAGGAAATTCTAACAAAATAAATGTCAGGAGCGTGTTGAAAGGAGAGACATAAAGGTGGCCCTTGACATGAGGATGCTTCAAAACTTCAAACTGCAGAAGTGACAAAAATTTATGATCCCCTCCCTCCACAAAATAAAACTTTGGGCCGGAAGGAAATTATTTTTAACATTTCATTGGGAAGAGTTTTGTGATCAAATTATTTTAAATATTGTGACGGATTTTTTGGAGTTCTAAATGGTTGGGAGGGTGGGCTGTTTCTGGAAAAGATATAACGGGACTAAGGTAAGGCTGAGAAATCCAGTGTCTAAAAATAAAAATATTAAAAATCATTCTACTTTTTTTTGAAATGCCAACAGCCTGCAATGAAGTCAAATCAATCAGTAAAAATCCCAGTTAGGCATTTGAGTCTTTCTACCAAAACTCACCGCTGGGCCATCCCATTAAGTTGTCAAAATTCCAGAGGCAAACGTTTAAAAAGGTCAAAAGCCAGGAGTAGGAAAAAAGTACCTATTAGTTTTCAATCCAAACTCTCACAGACCCCCAAAAGCAGCACTCTGAGAGACGAAAAGCGCGATAGGGCTTTGGGAAAACAGGGCCCAAGTTAACTCTGTCAACTAGGTTGTCCGAAACGCCACCTAAGAAAAGATGAGGAAAATCTTCACGTTCCACCTACTGTCAAGTAGTACTAAGCAGAACCCATTCGAAGCCTGCACCAAAGAAAGTCCTAGAAGTGATAAAAGAGAAGGAAATGAAAAACCGGAGGGCAGATTCTCTCCGTGGGCAGTAAGGAAGAACAACTGCAGGAGAAGTGAAGAAAGCTAAGAGGGTTCTGGACCCTCTGCTAGGAGGGGCGAGGCGGGCGGTGGGTGCCAGGCTCCACAGACGGAGGTTGAAAACGACGACGGACCCAGGCCCCCTCGCCGTCGGCCCCTCCGGCCACCGCGCAGCTCACTGTCCTGGGCGGACGGCTCAGGTTAGGAGGTCAAGTTCAGGGCTGGGACAAGCGCGCTCTCCCCCGCCCACACCTGGGACACTCGCCCCCTCAGCGGTCTCCTCCTCCCGACCCCGGGGCTCTACCTCTTCGTCGGGGAAACGGCGCTCACACTCCAAAGACCCTTACCCAGAGCCTGTCGCCGCCTCGCTGCACGTCTCAGACTCTTCAGGAACCACAGGTGAGGGGAGGGGGAGGAGGGGAGGGCGGAGGAGGGAAGGAGCCCAACCCGGTGCAGCGGTGCCGCTGCCGCCGCCGCGATACCGAGTCTTGGATCCTTCGCACACAACCGCGACCGTCGCCGCCGCGTCTGCCCGCCCCACGGCCGCACGTCGCCGTGACGTAAATCGCACGAGGAAGTAATATCCAATAAGACCACAGCTCCAGCGCAGTCGCACTGACCAAAACCGGAAGGTACTTCTCCGATTGCCTAAAACCTAGATGCATGCTGGGAATTGTGGTTCAGCCCGGGGAACTCAATGAAAGCAATGTTGAGCGTCCAGGGATCCACGGAAAGGGCTCCACCAGCGCTCGCGTAAATTCCTTTCCTTTATTTCACTCCTACCGAAAAGGGAAGCAGTTTAGATCAGAAGAGGCGGGGGCTTCCTTAGCTCGTGGACGCTTTTCCCAGTCTCTATGGATACAGGTTACACACCTTGGGCAGAAGCCAAAACTTAGGGGTTTAGGCTAGATCATGTGTTTCTTCCAACGGCCAATATATTATTAGACGTCGTCTGTGAAAGCTTCGGAAATAAATCCGAAAGCATTAGACAAATCTTATCCAAAACAAAAGCGTTTGCCTTTTAAGGTATTATGATTTATGCACTACTACTTCTAAAAAACAAACATGAGCCATTTACTCTTAAAATACAATTCAGAACGATTTTTAAAATGTTTTTCATGTAATAGCACATCAGAAGCTATTTCAACATTATATACTGTGTCCATTTACCCAGAATGAGTGATTTTTTTCTACATGTGAGCTTTCCATTGAGCTCTAACTTAGAAAACAAGAACAGGTTTGGTTACATACTATTCTATAAGAAAAGGAAGTACAGGATAGGAGCTGGCATAGAAAAATATATTCTTTCTTTTTTTTTTTTTAATTTATCTATTGTTGAAAGTATTACAGGTGTCCCATTTTTCCCCCCAATTGACCCCCTCCACCTCGATCCCACCCCCTCCCCAAGCCTTCACCCTGTTATTGACTGTGTCCATGCGTTATGCATATATGCATATAACTTCTTTGGTTAATCTCTTCCCACCCTCCACCCCCCTTCCCTCTTTCCTCTGAAATATGATTGTCTGTTGCATGCGTCAATGTCTCTGGATCTATTTAGTTCGTCAGATTGTTTTGTTCATTAGCTTCTTCTTAAAGAAGCCCTTCAACATTTCCTGTAAGTCCTGGTCTGGTGGTGATGAACTCCTTTAGCTTTTGCTTATCTGTGACGCTCTTTATCTCACCTTCAGTTCTAAATGATAGCTTTGCTGGGTAGAGCAAGCTTGCTTGTAGTTCCATGTTTTTCACTTTGAATATTTCTTGCCACTCCCTTCTGGCCTGGTAAGATTCTGTTGAGAAATCAGCCGATAGTCATATGGGTGCTCTCTTCTGGTAACTAATTGCTTTTCTCTTGCTGCTTTTGAGATTCTCTCTTTGTCTTTAACCTTTGGCATTTTAATTATGATGTGTCTTGCTGTGAGCCTCTTTGGGTTCCTCTTGTTTGGGACCCTCTGTGCTTTCTGGACTTTTAAGTCTATTTCTTTCCCCTGGTAGGGGAAATTTTCTGTAATTATTTTTTCCAATAGGTTTTCCATTTCTTGCTCTCTTTCTTCTCCTCTTGGCACCCCAATAATACGAATATTGGGCCTCTTGAAGTTGTCCCAGAGGCTCTTTATACTATCTACATATTTCTGGATTCTTTTTTCTTTTTGCTCTTCTGGTTGGGTGTTTTTTGTTTCCTCGTGTTCCAAATTGCTGATTTGATTCTTAGCATCCTCTACTCTACTGTTGATTCCCTATAAGTTATTCTTCATTTCAGTTCTTGTAGCCTTCAAATTGTTACTTTATTATGTCATCGATTTTCTCAATTGTTTTCATAATACTCTTACTAATATGCTTGAGCATCCTTATAACCATAATTCTGAACTCTGTATCTGTTAACTTGCTTGGACCTATTTCATTTAGTTTCTCTTCTAGAGATTTCTTCTGTTCTTTCCTTTGTGACATGTTTCTTTGCCTCCACATTTTGGCTGCTTCCAGGTGTTTGTTTCTATGTATTAGGTAGAGCTGCTATGTCTCCTGGAGTTTGTAGAGTGGCTTTGTGTAGTAGGTGTCTTGTAGGGTCCAGTGGCTCAGCCTCCCCAGTCACCTGAGCTGGGCCTTCTAGGTGCTCCCCTGTGTGGGCTGTGTGCACTGTCCTGTTGTAGTTGAGCCTTGGTTGCTGTTGG